TCTCTCTCATTTTCAAATTCAGTAAAGTTTGAGAATTTAGATGAGCAGTAACAAGGTGAGTAATGTAAACAAATGAAATGCTTGCAAAAGTTGCCCACAAACTAGAATTTCCCATTTCTTGCTTGCAAGACCAAGACTGAATGAATGCAAACATTTTGTCTGCCTGGAGAAAGGATGATGAATACTGCCCACTAACCTTCTAAAAAAACTGCTACACTTTTCCCTTTGCACACAAAACACATTATCAGTGACTATTGTACCAGGACAGAGATGTTTCAGTTTGCTGAGCCAGGATCAGAGCATAAATCTGTTTCTTTGCTCTGTGTTTATTACCCTACTTACAATTTCTAGCCCTGTCAGGCTTTAGTGAGATATTTCTGTGTGCTTTACTGATTAAGCAAATTTTCATATTTCAGTAGATACAGGAAGATCTTAATATCTACTGCATGTCACATCATGCACTTATCACAAAAGTTTACTGATGGTCTGTATAGCTTGCTATCTTTTTTGTACATAATAGAAATAAAAATTAAATCTCATCTGTATTGTAAGGAGGTGAATAAATCCTACAGGAATAATATTTGTAACAAAATTCCTTACTTGGATTAGTGTACTGATATTTTCTCAAGTTTGAAGACACCTTCATGTGTACATTTATTTTCCATGCTACTTGCAGGAAATGTCAGGTATCTGTAACAGAATCTAGAATGTTTATATAGGTGTGGTAGTATTTACTCATTTAAAAACCCAACCAAACAAAAGCAAAACCAGAATCCCAATGTTCCTGTTTGTTGTTAATCTTCCATTGAATTCACCAGAACATTGAGGCTTCTGACTTTGAAACACAGCTGTGTTCCAACAGTGAAAACAGTACAAAATGAAATATTCTTGACACATAACTTCTGACAATTTACTGATCATATATAGTAAACTACACACAGAAATTCAGTTTTATAAGCCACTGATAATGGAATGCTTAACTTGTACATCTTTTAGCATAAGTTTCTTATCAGAAGCTATTTAGACAAGAAGAGAAAACACTCAAAAATTAAAGGGTAGTAGGAGAGATTTAATGCAGGGATTTCAGATCAGAAGAGCCTCTATCTAAAGAAAAAAATTATATATATATGAGATAAAAGGTTAAAGGTATTTTATGCTATATTTTTTCTTCTGATATATGACAATAATGCACAAAGAGAAGAGAGAGGTTAAATTGTTTTCTTCCCAGCTAATGCATTCTATAGGCTGTTCTGAAAAGAAGGAAGAAAAGAAACCAACACTAGGCTTTGAGGAGATATTAACAGAAAAAATTTACGGCTCTATTATACAGTGGTATATTCAGACAAGTAATGCCAACACCTATCTTTTATGTGCTGTGCTGCTTGCTGGTGAATAAGGTGTAAATGTTTTGACAGTGGGTATAAAGGGTTTTTAGAGTATTTGATAGTTGGATGTAGAATGAACTCTGAAGGAGACAATTAAGAGGTATATTTTCTGCAGAGTGCATAGGGAATTAACTGTGAGCCGCACTGGCAACAATGGATGTAACACACCTGATTTTCTGTAAACCTGAAGAAAAATACCTGTTATTACTGCATTATTCATTTAGATGGGATTTTTTAAGATTCCCAGGGGAGTAAGGCACCCATTCCTTTCAGAATTTCAGTAGGTTTTTAATTGCTTTAGAGAATCTGATTCTTAGGGAATTAAGAAATCTTCCGAAGACTGAGTTTGCTTTATTCTAAGAACTGTTGTACCCTGACAAAACAGAGAGATGAATACACATTAAAAAAAACCAAAAAAAATCCAAAGCAACCAATCAGAAAAAAACCTTACAAAAAAAACCTTCAAAAACCCCACCCAAACAAAATGAGACCTATATATTTTTACCTGTGATACTTTTCCTTGATTTTCTTCTGTGTATAGAGACTCAAGATAGTCCCCTGCACCAAGTAAGTCTTCAAGGAGAGCTCATTTAGGACGTGATAGATTATCAGTGTGCCTCATCCTTGCCTAAAGGGATCTCCTGCCATCAGAAATACATTATTCCTTTGGGCCTTGGTATCCTATACATGTCTGTGTGTAGCCCAGGGCATAGTTCCTGTACTGAGCAAGGCACACTGGGGAGATGGCTGAGTCTCACTGAGCTGTTGTTTCCCAATTCTGCATATGCTTAAAATGTGCCAGGATGGTTACGAAGGAGAGGAAAGGTGAAGAATGGCTAATGGGCTCCTGCTCACCTGTCCCCAGCACAGATTTATCTCCATCTGAGGTATGCTACTGCATGCTCGACTCCTGAAATTGTGCAGAATTGTCCAGAGGCTCCCTAAGCTATGCCTGTGTAGCTCAGAGAAGGCTGGTACCACACTGGCCCCTGAGTACTGACATAACTCATCTGTGAGTATATTTCAAATGTGTTTACCTGTTGATTTCTAAATACAACTCAGCTTTGTCTCTCCAGTTCTGCAGAGACAGGAAGGTTTTATTTATACATATTTTAGGTTTTGCTTTTTGTGACCTATTGCATATATTTTTCTTATTATTAGTATCCATAAATATTACTAGTTACTAGGACTAGATTATCAACCTGCAGCACACCATGAAATATCTGCATTCTCACAAGCTGTAAATAGCAGAAGCATTACATTGGAATTCAGCACCCCTTGGCTCTTGGGATCTTGCCATGACACTTCTGGCCAGTTTGGAAAACAAACAAACAAAACAACAAAAAAACACAATTCCCCCCCCAAAACCCAAAAGCTACCAGTCATTGTGCTGGTTTCTTGTTTGGGTTTTTATTGAATTTTTGTTGTTTTGTTATTTTATTTTTTCCTCTAAGCCTGGCCATTTATTTCAATGTCTAAATGGAAACAGAACTCTTTTGAAGATCTAGTCCCATGTGAGTTTGTTCTGCCTTAACAGCAGATGGTGAATAGCTTCAACAGCTTTGTTTCTATTACCAGATGTCTTTGATTTACTCCCTTGCTTTGCTTTTTAGTCTTTATTGCTCCTGTTCTGAAATAGCAGAGGCAGAGCTATTGTTACCTCTCAGCTATAGCTTTTCTCACACAATACTATTGATCTCTTCTTTGTTTCGTAGCATTATTCAAAAAAGTATTGTGACTAAAAGGAAGGAGAGGGTGAAACCTCTTTAACAGCTGTACACTGTAAGATCCTATTGCTGCAAATATTTGCACGTCTTTACTTGCGCATGCTACTCCTGCTGGAAATGCCAGAGAAATGACAATGTATGCCTTTTATTGATATATATTTATCATTAAAGGCTGAATCATCTTTTTATATAGACATTAATATTATGTGGTACTTTAGACCCTTTGTTATTTTTTGACTATTTCAGTTGCAGCATAGTCCATACATTGATAACAGCGTTCTTTAAATTCTGTGTGACATTGGCAGTCTCAAGGATGACGTATTCAGTCTAGACATCACCCTGCTGTAGATTAATTGTGTCCTTCCCAATGAACAACCAGAACTATGTTCAGTCAGTTTAAGAGTCCCTGTAGAGACTTGCACTTGTGGGAGAGAATTGCAAGAGTCGACCTGAGGAAACTTGCTTTGAGTGATGCTTTTCCTTGAGAGAATAAACCATAGCTGCTCTAGCTCTTCTACTGCCAGAAGCCATTACTTCATCTTCCCTGCTTTTATGCTTTTGGTCTTTCTGAATAGCTGACAGAGCTGTTTTTTTCATCTTCTTCCAGACCAGAGATGGCTGCTAGTGTCACAGATTTGAGTGTTTGTTTCAAGCCTTTACTATCTCACCTTATTATGGGATCTCAAAAAGGTCAGAACTATTCTAAATTTTAGTTCCTCAGCTTCAGTTTTCATCTTAGCTTGTATTGGCTACTCATGAGCATCTTCATCTTCTGTGGGCTCTGGATGCTGTGCCCTCCTCCATGGGATTCACAAATGCAAACTGATAATCCCTGAACTGTTTATTATTACTAAAACAATGTGGTTTTTCAGTACTTGGACTCCATGGAACTCTCACTAGGACATGTGTTGGATTCAATGATGACAAGCAGTTCCATTAAACATTACATGTATTGTTTGGAGAAAGTTATCCCCACAGAGAGTAACTTTGGAACGTGTACATACATTATTTACTGACGTATGTGCCATGTTCACATTCAGAATGGCCTAATTCAACATCTGCTCCTGATGAGAGTGAGCATCTGGTGTTTCACAGATAACTGAGACATGAGCAGACTGTCCTCTAGGCTGACCAGACAGACTGGAACCAGGCTCTCTGAGTGGATGGTAAGACCTGGTTCAGTGCCAGGTGCAATTCTGATCACACCTTTGTTGTAGGCTGGGATCAGAATTGGTTTTATCTGTTATAACCTCTATGCAAGCAGAAGTACAGCAACTCTAGGATTGTGCCCTAGAATCGGAAGTCAAAAGAAAGATGAAAGAATAAAATGGAAAAGTTCTTGAACCTCTACTCCCATTAAACATTTTTCTCCAATTTACCTATATACATCTATGGATGAGTGTGTGTGTGGATGTACAAAAGCAGAGAAATGCTTTTTCTCCTGGGACTTGATTTATGTTTCTTCTGTAGGACCTACAAAGCAGTTGTAAGTCAACAGTCTTGCAGCCCAATTGCAAATATCAGCAATGTATTGCAAATTCAAACTGCAATGCCGAGCTGTGCTAGTCTGCTTAAACCATGGCTTGTCCAGAATTCGCTGGTTTGATAGGCCAGTTGCATTTATGCACTCCTTTGAAAAAGCAGTAAGGATGGAAAAAAGCAAGTCTTATCAAATTAAAGAGCATATTCCCTCAGACTCCATCAAAACTCTTAAAGCTATCCTACAGAGGTAAACAGTATATACATTGTCCCCATCTCCTCCTAGCTAGAAGCATTACAGTCTTCAGAAGTTACACCATTGTGATTTCACTTCTGTTCAGTATTTGCTGCATTCGATTGCCTCTGGCAGAGCTGTTACCTGCACAACCATGGGTATTTTTCTTTCCAGGCATTATCAGCCGTCAGGAGGCAGAGGAGTTGCTGATGAATAAATCTGAAGGTGCATTCCTGGTGCGAGTCAGTGAGAAAATCTGGGGCTACGCATTGTCCTATCGCCAGCAAAACGGCTTCAAGCACTTCCTGGTTGATGCTTCGGGGGATTTCTACAGCTTCCTGGGGGTAGATCCAAACCGACACCCAACACTCACAGATCTGATTGATTTTCACAAGGTAACATTTGCTAGGTGGAGATCAATAGCTGAGTGGAATGGATTAATAATTTAATGAGGAGCCATGTAGTTTGAAACCACACTGGAAAATAGGAATGACCATAGTGGGAAAGAATATTTTACACTAAGCCCAGCTGTAACATTCATACTTCTGTTGCAGTGAATCAGAAGGCTTTTCCTCTTCTTTCAAATGCTCCAGTACGTACTTGTGTCCCCTTATACACTGTGTACTCTCCTTGGCTACAAATGGCCTAATAAGGGCTGACAGATGTAACACTTTCTGAGCCCTTTTGCTGTGGAAAATTGGATTGGAAATACCATAGAAAGGTTTTTCAATGAAATTTCAGCATTTTTCTACCTTTGAAGTGAGGTCTGTAATGTACAAAAGCAAGAGAGTGTGACCCTGCACTAAAGAAGGGAACATGGAGGGGTTCTCTTTTAGGGATGCATTAAGGGTCACTCCTTATTATCCAAAACAATCTTGCAAGAGGAATTTACTATTTGACTTTAGATGGGTTTGAATTACTTTACCTCTAGATTCTGTTTCTTGTTGCCAGACTGTAACTAAACAGTAGCACTGTTTCTGAAAGCATAAATTGTTTTTGTCTTACATATCACTCCCTATCTTCATCAGTTTTAATTCTTTTTTCTTAGCAACCCTTTTAATTCCTCTTCACCCCCTCTTTTCTAGTTCCCCTTCCTATTTTATCCTTTTCTCACTCTTGTCTCAGAGTAATTCTACAAATTTTTTGCTTCTCCTTTTCTTCACAGCTTTTAGTTTTTTAAGTATTCGCTCTCAGGTAATTTTTCTTCTTAACTCCCTATCTTTTAAATCTTGCTTTTATCTCAATTGTTTTGCAGCATCTCTTTAGTGTTGCCTTAGTGACCCCTCAGAGATCACTATGACATTAAATATCCAGAAATTTTATTTCTACATGGGGAGATGGTAGGTGTTACATTTGACTAAAATATTTATCCTCCCCTGATTTAAATAAATCCTTTCTCAATGGCCACTTTGGAAGCTCAAATCTCTGACACCCTTCTTGTACAGAATGTCCTGTTGGTCAGTTTGGGTTAACCAACTGGGCTATGTCCCCTCCTAGTTCTCCCTATTCCCAGCCTCCTCTGCCAGCAGTGGGAAAAAGAGAAAGCCTTTGTGCTGTGCAAGCACTGATCAGCAATAGCCAAAACTGTAGTGTGTTATCAACACTGTTCTAGCCACAAATTCAAAGCACAAGGTCACAATGGAGCACAGGCAGTTGTGAAGCTCCATCCAAGCCAGCCCCAGTGCACCTGGAAAGAGTCTAACCAGGGCCTTGTCAGGGAAAGAAAAGCTGACATGCAACACCTCAAATACAGATTATCAGGTGTTGAATGTAGAACCCTGGGCTCCCCTCTGCTCCTGGTGATGGTGACAACCAATTCCAGCCATCTCTGCTCCAGCTATGTTCCTATATTTTCATCACAGCTCATGTTAGGCAATCACTGTATTAGGAACACAGACAGCAGTAAAGAACTTGTCAGAAGCAGAATGGCTTTTAGTTTCTGCCACTTAAAAAAAAGGAAAAAAGCTTGCTTAGGTGTCCCATGATAAGAGTTAATAGCTGACCCTGTAGTAAGCCTATGAGGGAAACTGGTTCAGCTTTAATGCCAGCACACAATTCTATTTTCCCTGTTACATTAAAACTGATTCCTTTGGCAATCACTTCAGGAGGCATTTTATCCTGCCTGTCATGTGGTTTTCTTAAAGGCTTTTCTGCCTGCCCTCTCTGGTGAAGTACACTGTCAATTGTCCCATAGTCCCCTGGTAACCCCAAGCAATCCATATGTGACTGGCTGTGCCATGGGCACATTTTCCCTTGCAGCTATATTTTTTTGAGAAGGTGCTGCTTTCCTCATGACTATTTTTGGCAAGAGTATACTTCCCCATCCCAAAGGTTGCATGGACTTTTTTGGAGGGCTGGCATAACAAATTTTTTGCTTGCTTATACCTATTAACTTAATTTTGTTTTATTTTGATTAAAAAACTGAGAGGTCACTCAGGAAACTCAGGTGGCAGACACAAGGTGGTAGTAACCATTAGGTGAAAGAACAAACCTTACAGAATTTCATATGAGTGTGCATCTTCCTTTTTCATTATTTGCATTTAAACACTGTGTGGAAAGCAGCAACAAGAGATCCAAGATCATTGTTAAATATTTGTATTTACTTCCTTATAACCCTCTTGTGTAGTAGACAAGGTGGTGATTGGCCAAAAGTTTGAACTCAATGATCTTAGAGGTCTATTTCAGCCTTAATGATTCTGTGATTCTTAGATTCTGAAAATAATTTAATTTGGGTAGGAACTTCCTGAACTGATTCTTAGTCTGGTGTAGTGATTGCGAGGCAACAACTGGGAGCCTGCATGTGTTCTGAGGAAATCAAACACCAAATTTGCATTGAATTTCAATAGAAACTGGATAGGTTTTGAAAATATTAGGTCCATATATAGATCCATATCTTGGCTCTAAACTTTCAGATGAAGGATTGCTATTTTAGTCAACATAGTTCTGGATTCCAGCTCATTTTGGTGCATCTATCAGTCTTAAACTTCTACAAAAACAGAAATGAACTATCATTATTGTAGGAATAATTTCAAAGACCAAGTTCTCCACTTCTTCAGTAGTTGTCTTGGTAATCAGTCACTGGAATGACACTCTTGGCATGTGAATATTTAATGAGAATAGGTGCTGTGAGTAGAGACTGCCTTTACTTAGCAAGGGCAATGCCTTTCACCTTGCTGTCATCAGTCAGAAAACTGTTACTCATGTGTGTGGGCACTCAATACTCAACTGAGCTCTTGCTCAGTGTGCCTGTGGGTAGCAGCATGGTAAGACTGGCATCTCTCTGTTCAATTAACCCAGGAGAACAGCCTGTGTAAGTTTCTGTAGCTGACTCCCTAAGTAGTGCAGCAACTTATAAGTAGTCCAAATCAGAGTCTCCTATGTGCACTGATTTCACTTTTTGATAGTAGCACAAGTTGCTACCAGCATAAATAAGAGATAAAGCATGAAGAAAATGATTGATAAAAACCTTTTTCTGGTCCGTAATTATTTTATCAAATGCTTATTCATAGTTGCTTGCCAGTTACAGTACAGTGGTGGCCTTCATTGCTATTCTCAGAATGTAGATGTAGCTTAGATATTTTATATTTTAATTGGTTTTATCATTCCAGGAAGAAATCATCACGTCCTCAGGTGGGGAGCTACTCCTGGAGCCATGTGGACAGCAGAAGAATCCACCAGACTACAGTCCTTTATTTGAATAACTGATCCAGGACCAACAGGAATGCATTCTGGATAGCTGTAGTAATAGATAGTTACAAAAATAAACAATGGAAGTAGTTAACCCACTTTCAAAGCCACTGGTCTTGTGGCCAAAAAATATCCTCATTAGGAGGCCTAAAATAATTCTGATTTGCATCTGAATTATCATCATCATTATTCATATTGCTAGCACTTGAAAGGTAAGAAATTACCAGCAAATTGCAAAAGAGGACTACTTCCAAGAAAATTTCAAAGGGTTGTAGCCAATTGCACTGAATACTAAGTTCCTGTCTTAATTTTCTCATGTTTTATACTGCAAGAAGCATGGGCAGGAGCTATTCATAGAGTACTGTATGTAGTATCAATGTTGGTGAACAGATTCTGTGTTCCAAAGGAAGGTTTGACAGTTTCTGTTGGTAATTTCACTACCCAGTGGTGCACTTTGGTAACAGGAGAAGCAGCCTTCAAACATCCCTATGAAGTTTGTGTGTATGTAATTAGGTGTAGCTTGAAACTTGCCATTATGCTTTTGAATTCAGGCCTACAAAGTTCTCCACAGGATAAGGTCATACACATTTTATTTACATTTTCATGAAGCCTAACAGCCTTGGAAGGAACTTTACTCCTGTACAGTAAGTGGTCAGTTTATTCTAAAGGAAACTGATTTGCTACAATTCTCTCATTGGCTGTGTCATGCTTTCCACTTTTAGATGTGCAAGAGACACAGTGGATATTGCTAGCTTTACTTTGCTATAGGACTGGGTATTTTCCTTATCTGAGTTATAAGAGAGGGTGGAGATAGTATATATATACATAGAAAAGGTACATCTAATTACATTATCATCATGCTATTTTATGGGTAAAAACAAGATGCACACAACGTGTTCCTGATCCATTTGCTATAAATATTATACCCCATGAAAACAGACCAGAAGCCTAGATCTGTAGAGCAGTTGCTTAGTGCTTGGACTAGAAAAATAATAAAATCTCATCATAGTACACACAGGAAAGGTACACTGAGCATATTTCTGCAACCTGGGAACCTCCTGTAAATCCCTTTCTCCTCAAACAGTCATTTGACCCTTGACTCACTGTTACCTTCCATACTCTGTCTGATCTAGATGGTAAAATCAACCAGGAAAACAAACTTGTCATGTCCAAGCCAATAAAGCACACTAAACATTTAAGGTGCTACAACAGTAAATACTTGTGGTAGTAATAGCAATATTTTTATATTTAACTTAATGGCTAACTCATATTAAAGTACAGATTTTTGCAGCTTCATTCTTGGTCAGGGACTTTTTCTTCTGTTAACATTGGGTTTTGTGTGATTTAATCCATCAATGTTTGTGACCCATGAAGAGAAAATTCTATTGAACTTCCTACAGAGACAGCCAGGCAGTTTCTGTACTACTTGGCACACTGGCTCAGGAGGTTTTAAATAGTTACTGTTAGCACCTCAGAACAGAGCAAGTCAGGACACAGCAAATAAGCAAAAAGCAAGAAAGATCTGCTTTCTCTGAGAAACCAGCTTTGCACTTTCTCCCTCCTTCAGAGGCATCTCAAGAACCACCTCAGCCTCAGGTTATTCACAGCTGCAATTCTTTCATGGAGCAACTGGACCTATACTTAAAGGAGAAGGGAAGGGGACCTCTGAAATTATGAAAAAAGGAAAGTATCCACAGACTTATCTCTGAGGTCAGAAAGTGGTAGGTGACTGTATAAGACCAGTCTTTTGCCTTTATGCACTGAAGAAATCCCACAAAAAAACCAAGAACAACAACAAAACAACAACAATAAAAAACACAAAAAACCCAAAATGAACAAAAAAGAACCCCAAAACCAAAACAACAAAAACCAAAACAGAAATAAAAACCCCAAAAACTCACCAAAACAAAACCATGAAATGCTACCTTTTCTCTGGAAAAGGTGCCAGGCATGCTAGAAGACATACAAATTCCAAAGTTTTTAGAAGATTACTCAACACGATACTGTGAATGGTTATAGACAGAATATTGAAGAACTTGTTCCACATGCAATTCACATTCAGATGCTGATAGCAATACAGCTATTTGTTTTTAGTGACACAGTTCCCAGCAACTGCTTCTGTTTTGTTTAGCCATTAAGAAGGCCTGGAAATAATAGTTCTTTAGTTTATGTGGCCTTTTGCAATGTAATTAACATAATTTTCACTTCAGAGCACATTTCCTAATTCTAATTTTCTAATTTTTTGTCTGAATTCCACCCATTTCTCACTCTAAGTTTTATCTAGCTTTAAAATAAAGCTCTTGTAAGTTCCCCTGCAAATGATATTACTTGGAAAATTGCAATTTCTGCTGAGAGTTTTACTATCTTAATAAATGGCAAAATTCTCAAGTAAAGGAATTGCTTGGTTTTTCTCCCCATAGCCCCACAGAAATAATGAAAAAAGCCAGCCAGTTCACAGAGTTACCAAGAAAGAAATCTAAACAATATATAACCAGAAGCAGCAGCATTGAAATATGGTGTACTCGGCTGAAGATAAATTTTGAAGGAAAGAAAAGGAGAACATAGCTAGCAGAAACTAAGAAGAACAGAAACTTTCCTTGGTAGAGATGTGCAGCTGTTGCCAATATACTTGAGTGAAATACAAGCTTGGAGATGTTAGGTCTAAGTTAACAGGTGCTTCTTGTTGCCTAAGGGGGCAACAAGACAATAATGGGACCATGAAAAGGTAGCCCAGTTAGTAGAAAGAATAGAAGAGCAGTGAACGAGTAAATATGGAAAATTAAGAAAATAAGAATGGGCAGAATGTGCTTAGCCTGTTATTTGGAAAGCATTTCAGATTTTTGCTGCTCTGGGAGGAAGACCAGGCACTGCTACCTCTTTTTCTCTCTGCAAGTCTGGAAGATTTCAGCTTTGAGCTTAATCTACTTTGGAGGTAGATTTGACACTCTTGAATCTGTAAGAGCTGGGCTGGTCATCACTTCAGCCTTGAATGCTTCCCTCTGTCTGCCTCTCCATGTAGTGCTGGCTGCAGCTGCTCATCACTGGGTGAAAAAATCGTCATGGTGCTGCCATCTCCTTGGATGTCAGGCCTAACTTCAGCTCATCCCCCTGGGACCTTCCAGTCTTGCTTCCTGACCTGTTTTTCTAGTGGTAACTGTTGGTGAGTTGTAAGAGGGTCATGTTATGGAATTTCCTTATAAAACTCCCTGTCAATATTTCTTGCTGATGAGACTACCAGGAATTCACTGAGAGGCCTGCTATGGTAATTGTCATAAAGATGAAATAAAGGTAATTTTCATAAAGAAAAATGCCACAGCAGTAAGGTAAACTTCTAAACTTTAAAATAAATGGAACTTTTCTCATACCTGTTTCACACCAATAAAATATGGCACACAAGGTCCCAAGCTTGTTTGCAGGTATCTTTGAAAGAAGCATCTCTTGAGGATTTATTCTTGCTCTTCTTCCTAGACCTATGGATCCATCTGTTCTTGTACACAGACATCTCCAATTTTATACTGCCCTCCTCTCTAAAAAAGAACAAGCAAGGAAATTGACAGCAGTAATGGATGAGATTTCCAAGGCTACTCAGAAAACATAGATGCCAGTCTATTAACTCTTGTAATTAATGGAATAATGATGTAGCATGAGTTTTTGCATATCGGTTTTATAATAGATGTCCTGGATTATTCTTTTAAGAAATCCCTATTGTGCTGAACAAATGGTAAGCTAAGTAAAATACCACCTCTCTCAAGAATGAGATACCTAAAAATTGTTTTTATAACAGAGATTTATTTTCAGGCTGAGCAGAAACTCTTTCCATAAACCAGATTCACAGTGAGAATTTCCACTAGATTTCAGTTACCTTGATTCAAATTAAACAAACCTATTTCTTGCCTGAGGTGAGGTAGTATTAATACACTGACTACAGTAAAATACTTTAGTTTTGTATGAACTAGGAATCCACTTCTGCTCAGTCTTCCCTTGAAACACCAGAAACCTGAATATTGAGCATTAATGGAATTAAACCACAATTTACCATTTACCACAACACAAACCTGGTCTCAGGTAGACCGTGGCAGTTTACAGGGAGAGAAGCTTTTCTCTATGAATAAATTTGTTTTCATAATTTACAGAACTTATTTTTTAATGATTTTCAAGGGATGGCTTTCTCTTCTGTCTTACTGTGGCTTTGTTTTAAGATTCTTTTTTCCCTTCCCAAGAGGTTGGGGTAAGTGACTTCTGTGAAGTGTGTCCCTGGTCAGGCTATCAATTGCAGAAAGAGGTGTTCGTACTTGACCAGATGCTTTGCTTTGTGTTGCCTGAGATGAATCTCCTGGATACATACTGTCAGATGATAATGATGCATAATTGATTTTTATAGCTAATTTCTTGCCATGCAAGTGCTGTGTGAAAGCTTCTCTTCAAATATTTGTTTACTGCTAGTGATTAATCCTGTAGCTTGTATATTTACACGATGGCCCGTAGCTAATGCAAATTTTCTACTAGGCTGGAGCCTTCAATGGGTTTGGTTTCTTCTCTCTTGGAATTTCTTCCAGTAGTTTTAAATGAAGTTAACATTTTATGGTATCTTTATTATACATCAATAACTGACTTTTCTTGTGGAAGAGAAATAACTTCAAAAGAGGCTGGACATTTAGTTTGGTCCTATATGTGTCCTCACAAAGTATCTACAAAGAAAACACTTGGCATGTTAATGACTCCTTTAAAGTTTAGCTGACATTTTTCCCCATTCTCAGTTTTAATGGGAACTGTGGGTGGGAGAAAGTCATAAGGTCCAAAAGCCATGGAGAGAAAAGAAAGGAGGCAGCACTGGTTTATTCCATATAAATTTCCATGTAACAGCAAGCAAAGCTTGGATCAAGTACTTCCTGTGATGCACTGGTTTTCCTGCTTAGCATTCAATGTAGTGTGGTCACTACTTTTCCCTCACACAACAGCAATAGGAAGAAATTCCTAGTCGGTGAGGAAATAGCCCAAAAGTTGTTGAGTAAGTAACATTACTGTGCCCCAGGAATGATACAGAAGGAGTGTGGATCAAGAACACAGTAAAGACATATTTTGTGTATGGGTTTTGTGTAGACTGGGAGCGATTGCAAATTCTTGCTTGGTAGGAGTTAATTCTTTTAATTGCTTGATTTTGTCATTAATGGTCAATGCATGTGAAGATGTGGCCAACTGTAATGCACCTTCTATTCCACAAATTGGTAGAGCATGGATTGCCTGAAAGGAAAATCAGACATAGTTGTCTTAGACAAAAGTTACTAAGTATTCTTGTAAGTTATTTGGGGCAGAAAATTGTAAAATGTAGAATGCATATCCTGATTTACAAATGTAGAAACTACGCACTGCTTACCACATAAAGTACGATGAGTTTGTCAGTGAAATTTTTACAGCACCTTAAAACCCAGTGCAGAATAAAGGTACCCCTGGTTATTCTGCTCTCCTGTAGGAAATGTCAGCATTGTAAACAAGAAAATATCTTCCCATCCAGGAATTTAATCTAATAATGGACTACAGCAAGTCATTTCTGAGAGCTGTACAGTGAACTCTGCACTGCAATTAGTAAGACAGCCAACCTGTTCTTGATTCTCAAAGTCTTTTTCCTTGTGATAGCCTGATGCTAATGTGAAATATGCTTTTAGGAAGTCATTCAAACCCAATGTAATGAAGTGTGGAGAAGGGCATTATCATTTTTACTGTAGACATTTTCTCTCAAGGAATCCCAGGGAAAAAAAAAAAAAAAATTCTAACAGCAATGCAAAAGTTCTGGTTTGCCTTCTAGACAATATTTTGTTACCTATAATGTGCTGTACTCACATCATGCTACTTAATTTATTTTGAATTTCAGTGGTCTATATGCTATATGGGAATCTGTCTGATTTTTTAAACTAGAAAACAGCAGAGACAGGTGTATGCAAGCAAACTGTTCTGTGGGACAAAAAATGCTCACTGAATTCCAATGCTGAGCTCCCACAACATTTGCTGGAGTTCATGTAGCAATCCTTAGTTGATAAATATGAAAATCTTTTATTAGGGCTGACTGTTAAAATCACTTTTCACTTTCCCCAGAGCTACTCTAAAATCTTCCATTGACACTATTTAATGGGGAAATGTTCTGTTTTCAAAATGCCAAGCTTCACAAAATGGTTTCAATTCCTTGGAGTAAAAAATAAAAAAAAAGAAAAAATTATTTAAAGGTATTTTTAATTGCAGAAAATATGAAAGATGTACTCAACACAGAAAAAATATATATTTTTATTAATCTCTACAAGAAAATGTGCTACATTATGCTCCAAATTCAATGCAGATATTCAATGTTTTTGACATTTCATTAGGTATCCATTCTCTCTCTTAATGCTAGCTTCCTTTTAAGGGAGAATGAAAATACCCAGGGAGCAGTTACTCAAAATGTCAAGCCCATTAAATATCTGATTTGATGACTGAAATACATTTTTGAAGGCTTAAATAAGACCCCAGATAATTTTCTCCAGAAAAAAAAAAAATCAAGCTAGGAAAGTGAGTTCAGAAAAAAAAGAATGGATGCATCTTGTCCACAATTTTGAATATATTGTGTTACATGCTTGGATACTCAGAGTATGATTTACATTTATACACTACTAAAAAGTCTAAAGATCAAAAAGTAATTAATTTAAATGGAATAATAAATAACATAAAGGAAATTAGACCTACTGTTCCAGCTTCTCTGAAAAAGGCTAATTCTATCAATGGTTATGTAAAAGACCAAGCCTATTCATGGACTTTGGTAGAAAAAAGGGATCTAATTTTACAAGTTGACATTGTGATCAATCACAGTAGAAATCTCCTGGATGTGATTAAGAAATACAACATGCAGACTACACATTCAAATACGAAATGAAACTTTTGCAATGTACCAGCTCCTTGCAAAGGTGAAACATCCCACAGAACAGCTGTTGCGCTGTAGCGAAAACGAGTAGCTTGGATTCCAGTTGTTCTCCTCAGGCTGGACTAGAAACAGGCACCTCAGAGTTCCAGGTCAGTGTTTATCTGAGGAGGCAGGATTGGGAGAGAGTGAGAAAACCTGTGAAACCTTGAAATATTACTATGAAAAGAAAAAAAACACCCACTTCCCCTTCCCCACCCTAGATAAGAATCTGTTTGTAATGGGGAAACAAGGAGGCATTGTGAAACTGGCAGACGTTGTTTTCCGGTTGAGGAGGAGACATGTACACAATTTGTTGAAGTCAATGAGACCGAAGTGGGGAATAAGGATTTCACAGCCGGGTCATTTTTTATTCATTCTGTTCTACAGCAGTGCACATACAGTCATGAAGTGCTTGGAGTGCTAACCCATCTGTTCTCAGAACAGCTCACATCCAGTGGGCTAAAAATACTTAGTCTGTCAAGGAGAGAGTCCAGGTACTTTGAAAAGGCTCGGATGCTTTTACTTTGGGCCACAGATAAAGGTGATAAATTAACAGGCATCGGGGATCTTTTTTTTAATCTCTCTTCATACCCCAGACCTATTAATAATGAAGCAAATTCAAAACAACAAAGGAGAAAACTGCCTGCTGGCTAATACTGTGTAATCCTGGGTCTGCACCTGCCCACAGTGCTAAAGTTCAATTCAAGTTACACTTCAGTAATTGATGATCACTTGCCATATCCCTTTATAAAGCTTTTTCATCAATGTCTCTTGTGGTTCATTTTCTATCAGCAGCAAATCAATGAAATTTTAATGGAATAGAAAGCCTACTTGAGACTGAATTACGTTACTTTACCTGCTTCAATATCAAGTGAAGTTCTCAAAGGCTCAACAGATAATAGTTTTTCAGATTTTTTTCTATGATAACTTTGTTTCTGCAGAATGGTGGAATCTATGCAATCAGCTGTAATAAAGATTGAAGGCATTAATGAACTTGGTTTTACTGTGCTGTTAGAGACAATGGGAAAACGTGGGGTTTGAAGCTGATAGCCAGACCCTTACAAATGCTGCAGCGGTGTAGTAGGGAATGCATTAACTCCTGGATCTGGTGATTCAGGGAGAATCTGAAATGGTTTAAAAATCTCCAGGGTAATACAGTAATTAACCAGGCACAGGGAAGTACAAGGTCACGAATTGAGCTCCCCCCTCGATGCACTGTTGTCAGAATAGTCCCACCCATCACTCTGAGGGCAAAGCCGCCGGGTCTGCGAGCAGGGACGGGCAGCACTGAGGCCGCCCGTGGCCCCCCTCAGAGAATATTCGAGACAAGTATCGGCCAGACAGCACACCTCGCTTTTCCTGGGGTAAACTTCATTGATTTGAACCCAACGTGAACCGATCAGGATTCGCTGTGCGGCTTTGCTTAATGTCTCCGGTTCGGGTGGGCTCCCCTCCCCCCCGCTCCGGCCGCTTCCCGGGCGCTGTGGGCACATGGAGGGAGGAGCAGGGCCCGCCCTGGCGCCGTGGGGGCTGCGGAGCCTCCCTCAGCCTCTGGAAGCTCCTGGAACCTTCTGCCAGGCCGGCCCGTGCCGTGGCCTGTGAGGGCCCGGGTCTCATGCTGTGGTTCTGCCGCGGTGCCGGCGGCGGGGAGGGCTCGGGGACTGAGGGCCCAATCTCGCAGCTTTGCTCCAGCGATTTTCCTCTACCCAAAGCCTCCTGTTTCCCCAGCCCTGCCCAAACCAGCTCCCGAAATACAGGCCTGATAAAGTCGGGCCCCATGGGTTGATTCCTCTCAGGCTGTACGGAACAGATAATTTACAGATCGACAAGATGAAACTGGCAGGAGGTGCCAAACTGTCCTGGTTTTTGTCCTGGTTTAAGGACTCTTCACCTCCTGAAGAGAACTTAGTGCTCCTTGTGGCTGGACAGCAGAGATGGGAAGTCTCCAAGGAAGGAAGCTGCAGGTGTAACAGTGATGGAATACAGGAAAGGTACCAGCTGATCGATGAAATGGGAAAATCACCCACAGTGATTGCTAAGGAGGTCAGCATTCTCTTGCCCCAATTTGTTAACCAAGCCCAAAGTTTGAGTGATGTAGAACAAATCTAAAGGAAAAAAATTCCAACATGTTTGTATCTCCATGAACCACTGAACACAAATCACATATTAGTTAAGTATCAAGGATGTTCACAAAAGTTTGAATATTTTCGAATTTTTCAAATGGGACTTGCGTCAAGCCTTGAATGCAAAAGAAAATAAATCTGCCTTCTCACCTTCACAGTCACAGCTGGGGCACACATTATTAGTGCGGTTTGTGTTTCCCTTAATGGAACTGTTTCTATTTGGTGAAGTAAAGTGTATCAGTCTGTGAAACTGTAAAATTTAATATTATCACTACCACCTTGCTCCAGACAGCACTAAACACAATTTCAGATACAGGAGAGGGAAAACTGTCTGAAGACTTAGAAATGGCAAAATATGAAATGTTCAAAATAGGATTGTGCTAGAGAGTAGAATGGCAAACATCTATGTTCTGGTTGATTTGATATGCTTTGATACAGTCTATAAACTCTGAAAAACTATTTAAAACATACTGAAATAATGCTCAGAAATGTAATGCAATAAAGCTTTTGCATAAAAAGGAGAGTGGCTATCAAGAATGCAATGTTTCCTGGTTTTCACAATGAAATTATTCTGTTTTGATTTCTTTGTCTTAAGTAATCTCTATGGATCCTTTTCCTACAGAACAAGCTAGAGAACATCTAAAAGTTAATACTTTCTCAAGTAGTTCAGTTGAAATGTTCATGCTTATTTAATATTTTGTGAGTATTTTTCATGGTAGTTTAGTTTTTAAAAAACCAATGAGTCCAACAGAGAAAATAAAATGTGGATTTACAGCACTGTAGTTGTAGTTGATGACATGCAGCAAATAAAAGGTGAAGACTCACCTGCCCTCATTCTACAGTGCACAAAACTCAGGCAAAGAACTGCTTTATGACATGAAAGGAAGATGCTTTTGACTCAGCATGGTGGAATTGTAGAATCTTAGAATAATTTGGGGCTTTAATGGGCCCTTGGGAGTCATGTTTGTACTAAAATTTTAAGATAGTCTCCTGGATTTGTGTGGAATTTACTTAATTTTCTTTGATCTTTCAGCATCCAGAATTTCGCTTTTTCCTTGTCACTGAATGCTCTGGAGGACCATAGCTGACTAATTTATTGGTCCAACTAACGGATCTGCCCTTTTATTTTTATGAATGTCTTTCAGGCTGTCATTTCTGGAGCTCATTGTTCAGTAGAGCTTTTGCTGTACACTTTCTTTGTTTTGTTCTTTAACTTTTAGTTTTAAACTACAGTTTTGATGCTGGACTTTGTTATGTGTGAATATCAGAAAAAGTTCTATTGAAAAGGCTGAAAAATATTCTTGCCCATGTTTTATTTTTGCACTATTAAAATTCTTTATGTATAGTCATAGAACAATGGGGGAGTTGTTGGTTTTGTTGTTTTGTTGAGCTTGTTATCATTGGTTTTGATTTTGTTTTATTTAAAAAAAAAACCTATGTGATGGGATATGAGCGGATTTGTGAAAGGCTTCATGAAGATTCTTCTTTAGCCTTGATATTTTACAGTGATTTTTGTTGCTACATGTTTAATAAAATGCTGTTGCTCTGAGTTCTGTAACTGCTATGGAAGTGACTAAGGTGTTGGGAGGTATATAAGAAAAAAAAAATAAAGCAGCCCATTTCTAACCCAAGAATGCAAGGAAACAATTTGTCACTACTGACAGCAGGAAAATGAATAAATATTGCAAGAGATATATGTATAGCCAATGAATTTGTACCAGCATCTGAGTGATGTCCTGTCTCAGGAAGGCAGGCAGACCAGGGTTATTAACTTTCTTTATGGAGAGCTTTCCTTTCAGGCAGGGAATCTGTGGTGGGAATCAACAACTTGGTTATTTGTTTTCCTGTATTCTTTGTCTTTATAAAGTGGCACATTACTACACAATACTATGTTTAAGAAAATACAACCCAAAACCAAAGGGCTTAGTTGCCTGTCCAGAGCTAGGCTCCAAAATTCACATTTTGGCACTACAATAGAAATGGACAAACTGAGAAGTCTCAGTTATTCTATGAGTCTTTATATGTACAATATATGTTTCACATATTGGAAAAACTGTGATTCAGTATAGATGTGAAAATAAATTTTGAGTCCATGTTGAGGCATAGAAAATTATGGCAGCTCCTGTCAATGTATTTAGACAGATTATGAGTTCTTGTCAATATTAATCATAAGGCTATAAGAGGAATGGATCATGTTTTCTAGGACAGTAAACAGCTAATAATTGTAGCACAACTTAGCTTGTGAACTGTCTCACTATTTCTTTATTACATTTCAACTGAATTCAACAGAATCACTAGGTTGGAAGAGACCTCCAAGATCACTGAATCCAACCTCTGCCCTAACACCAAAAACTAGACCATGGCACCAAATGCCACATCCAGTGTTTTTTTAAAGACACCCAGGGATGGTGACACCACCACTTCCCTGGACAGACCATTCCAGTACTTTATCACCCTCTCTGTAAAAACTTTTTCCTAATATCCAACCCATGTTTCCCTTGTGTTCCCAGCCCCTCACCAGCCTCGTTGCCTCCTCTGGATGTGCTCAAGCATCTCAACATCTTTCCTAAACTGAGGGGCCAGAACTGGACGCAGCACTCGAGGTGCGGCCTCACCAGTGCTGAGTATGATTTTTACTTCATTTACTTCATTTTTCTTGTTGCTCAGTTTTACAGGTCCAGGATCTTCTGCGACTTTGATTCTTTCAAACACAGACATCTTCCCCTTCTTGATTCCCACCTCCTGCCTTTCTCTTTTCTCCTATTTTTTTTGTTTGTTGCAATTTAGTGCTTGCCAGTAAGTTTTCACTTTTTGTTGTGCACCATTAAACTGTGCTTAACGCATTCCTTTGGCAAAGGTGCCAGACCTTTGTAGAAAAGTTATTGTAGAAATAGAAGAAAATCTTGGATAAACAATTTAGTTAAAGAAAAAACAAAACAATTTCAGGCAAGCTGAATTCATTCCAGTTTTATAGGTAACCGTAACAGAACTCTCTTGAAGTTTAAGAATAGTTCAGTGTCTCCACTTCCAGTCTCCCTTTAGGGCCTCATAAAGTTCCTGGTTCTTACTAGTTTTGATCTGAGTGCTAAAAGGATGCTCTGTGAGTGCCTCCTTGATCGAAAAGTCCTGAAACTCCATGCAAGTTTGCCTTTATCTTCCTTTTACAACTCGTTAAATGTCTGTTACAAGAAGCTATACGAAGAATGGGAAGTCTCAAAAGACCACCTTGATGCATCCCAAAGACCTCAATTCCATGAAACACTTTCAGATGAGGCTTTGAACTCCTGTGCTTCATATAAAAGCATCTGAACTTTTTGAGAAGAGCTAATCTCTAATGAAAATGTCCTTATGTATTTTTTAATCTTTCCTGATATTTTGGATGGTAAGTCCTTTAAAAACTCTTCAGAATACATCAAAATGTCATATTGTGCCAAATGCCTACTTTTTTCCCTCTGGATCCTAGCTTAAAAATGAATGCTGTAAAATAGGAGATCATTTTGGATTACAGAACAACTTCTCAAAATGTCAGTAGTAAATAGTCAGCAAATCCCTCATTATCAATAAAATGGCACTGATATGAAGTTAAAAAGTAATTTGTAATACTTCAAATCCATATCCTCACAAGCCTTTTATCTTGTAGCAGACTCACCAGCACCAAGCAAAATACAGTTTAATGCAAGAGGGGTCTTTGGGGTTTTTGCTTGTCTAATGAACTGGAGTAAAGGTTTTAGAAAATCCTGCTGGACAAAGGACTTTGATTTTAATAGTGTTTTAAATGAAACCACTTAAAGTTGTTTTTAAGTCATCATCTTTCATCAGTGTAACATATATAAAATCCTTTTAGTATGTGTTCAGACACCATTCATTTTCTGGATAAGAGTCATTATTGTTTATGAAACTACATTGCTCACAACAGAAGCTTTAATTGTTAATTAAATGTTAATTAATCTTTTTGAGGTTTTTGATCTCTGCCTTATGTTTAGTTACTTTATCCATTCACTCATATTCCTTAAAAGCTCTTTATCATGTGTAAAGTGAAAAAAACACCTCTCTAGTGTTACTTGTGTGGAAATTGTAACTCAATAGGTCGAAAGCCAGTATTTCTTCGATGTAGGTCAACTGTAAAAATCTCATTGCCTTAATTGGCAGAAGAGTTAGACCTGTATAAGAAGCAGAGAAAAAATGAAACAAGTCGGTGGAAAAATAGTATGAAAATTTTATACTGTCAGAGAGAATGTGGAGATGCTGAAGGCAAAAAGTGTGGGCACAGTGATATGCACTGGTGTTGGATTGTAGAGTGCAAGCTTGTTTAACCACAGTGCTGGGCATTCAGCACCATGTTCCTGCAAATTCATCTTGTTCCTCTAGATTTTATGGCTGGAATTTTATTCTGTACTTTTGACTTACCTACTGAGGTTTTCTGACTGCTAATTAGGTAGCTGTTTACCCATTAATGTAACACAGCTCATCTTACATTAACATCTGTAAGTGAGCAGCCTGAACTGAGTTGTCCTTGAATAAATGACTCCCAAGGGCAAGTCTAGGTATCTTATTGCAATCTGCTGGCCAGTCAAACACGTGTGAAGTATTAGGAAGCTTGTAAAATGTAACTCATTAAGGAAAAAAACCCCGTTTTCCACGAGATAAATGGATCTCTAAAATATTTGCTAATAGAATAACTAGGAAAATAATCTTGTAAAATGAATATGTAAAATGTTACATGCGGTTGCTTACCAGCAAACATGCTTTCAGTGACATGCAGTACAAGGTCTCCAAATATAGATGTTTTTGAAAGGAAAAAATTATCAAGTGTTTGAATAAAAACTAGCTAGATTTGACTTCCAGAAATAATCCAGTCTGAGTAAAATGGTGCCACAAATGTGTGTGAGAAAAAGTTTTTCTCAAAACAAATTTTGAATCAAATTCGTGAATGGTAGCTGAGTTTCAAATACATATATTTCTTTTTAAAACATGTTATTCAAATGCTCATTAGAAAAGTTTGTAGACCTCTGGTTGACTTTGCTAAAGCCTGAGCTGTCCACACAGCTTTTCTTGTGGTTCCTGAAAGTCATGTATGATTCTTTCTCCAGCTTCTTCTTCCTTCTGATCTCTCAGTGATGGTTTGTAATTGAGCAGTCAGCAATGCTGACAATGGATTGGGTACCTGAATCTCAAAATGCTTTCTGCCAGGGCTCCAGATAAGATTATTAGATTGTTGTATAGATTATCCCTCATCTAACACTTGAGCTGGAAACAACTAGGCCTGAATTTACTTGATTATCAACATTGTAAAGGATGGAATATGCAAGCTCCAGAGGATAATCTAGACACGCTTCAAGATGTAGAAAGTAGAGCTTTTAGATGTAAAAATGGGGCTCTAAGGTTTGGTGATCATCGCAACAGGTTTTCCGAGGTAAAAACAAGTAAGTGCAAGCCTTTTCCGTGGTCTGGTTTATACCTTTGGTGTTTTGATTCTAGAGAATATAATCTTCAGCTTCAATTCACTCCCCACATGGGATTTTAGCTGATTTTCTCCCCTTCACATTGCCTAATCCTCTTGTCCTACCAGAGAAAAATCCTTTTAAAACACCGGCACACAGCCAATGCACATCTTAGTACTGTTTTGGAGCTTCCAGTCAGCTGTGTAGGGTGACTTTGTATCCTGGGAAAACTGTAATGCCTTGCCATGAACACTGTTTCCACAACCTGTAGAACAAGGCAGTTGGATGTGGGGTGGAGACATAATTGGAAAGATTTTTTGCTACATGGTGGGCTGAATTCCAGTGAAGGACTACCATAGCAATAAGGTAATGATGGAAGAACTTCAAGTCAAACACTAAATACTTTAATGCAAAATGTTAGGTACCAAATGTTTGCTTGCTGGGAGGGTATATTTAATGCTACACAAACAGTTTGTGAAAAGGTATGTGCTGCCTAAGGAAGAAAAGTGCAATTAAAACCTCATTAAAACTGTTCTAAAGGGAAGTGCTTTGAAAAACTGACTGTCTAAGAGGTTCAGAATAACTAATTTCTTTCCTTTTGAACCTAGAGTACAGAATCTGAGAATGAGAATATAGTCTAAATACTGTTATTCACACAGATGTGAATGAAATCTTATGCTTTGCATATTCCTGCTGCAAGCAGACATGGAAGTGTTCCACTTGTGCTCGGAGATCTGAAGTCAGTGAGCGCAGTGTTGAGGCAAGCTGCAAACCCTGAAGCAAGGGAGTGTATATTAACTCAGCTCTGACAAGCTCTGTTCAACCCAGCTCATGAGTTTGGGGGCTCCACTGGATGATCATCTATAACTCATAGTGTTGGAGTCAGGAAACTTCTGATGGGCCAAAGCTGAAGGAGGAAAGCCAAATCAATTTCTTTCCCATTTCCTCTAGGTATAATAGATGTTTGACTAGCTGGTAACATCTCCTTGTAGTTGGCTTTAAAAAAATATGTTATATATTTATTTATACTGGAAGAGAACCTTTCTTCCTGTAAGATAGAGAACCTCCTGCTGCAGTATTCTGCAGGATTTTACAAGGGTTCATAAGTCATCATATATGTATAATAAGGGTAGTTCTGACAGGCATGGACTCAAGTAGGTTGTATTCTTGTTTTTGTCTGGACATTCACAATTAAACTTTTCTTAGGGTTTGGCAGACACAGCCAATTTAGAACATTTCAGATCACAATAAAATTGGAACAGGCATAAAATCCTCCTTAACTGGTGTGTCCCTGTTACTGCAAAAGGCCTGATTTCTGAAATGTCAGTGAATTCACTGTCTCATCACACTTCTGCTTAGGAGACAAGCAGACAGCACCTTCTGTAAAAATAAATATTTTAATAGTATTTGGTTCTTTGGCTTGCATGTGGAGTTATGCTTTTAAAATGAAAGCCAGAGAGCAAGACAAAAATTGACTTGTTTTTAGAAACAGTAGCTGTTTATGGACCAGGATGATTGTATGCTCTTCCAAGAAATATAGCAGACAGGGCTGGTCATTTTGGCAGCACTTTGAACTCTGCAGTTCATATATTTATATCTCAGTTTCAAGCATAATCTTGATTGGGAACGTGCTACAGCCCAACTTTTCAAGCATGATGAATAATTTTGCATTGTCATGTTCTGTTAGAGACATTTTATAAGGTTCCATATTTGCTAGTGCTCTGCAAAACAATTCTTTCCAAATGGGCAAAAAATTGACGCATCCAAAATC